TGCAAAGCTTGTAGATCTTTGCACTCTTCTTCATGTCTCTCCTTTATCTCTTTCATATCCTTATTTATTCTTTTAATTATCTCCATCTGGTCCACATGCTGCTCTTCAAACACTTCTCCAAATTAATTGTAAAAGGACCATAATATTTTAACAACATTTTTTAACAACTTTTTGACAACAGATTATGTGTCACTATTTTATTGATCCATATATTTAAAATGGACCAATCACAAGCCACCACATAGGTTGTTGTAAAAAGTGATAAAAGAAAAGTTGTTAAAAAGACATTTTCCATTGTAAAATTTATCTTTCTTTAGAATTGGACAACCAATACTTGATTAACTTTTTTATTCATAAATTATTCTCAAATATTTTAAATATTCCAACAATTTTAATTAAAAAAATTTTTAATCCATAAAATTGAACTCAAATTGAAATTTATTTCTTATTCTAAAATTTGATATATTTTTATCTCCAAACTTTAAAAATAAATATATATAATAATTTTAATTTAATTACATTAACTTTTTTTTACATATTAAATAATATTCTAAATTGGTATTTAAATAGTTAAAACACCATTTAATATGTAAAAGAAAAAAACTCAATACCATTGGATGTATTAATTTATGTTTAAAATTTGAATACAAAAATGTATTAAAATTTAAGACAAAAATTATAAATTAACTTTTAAGTTTAGAAAGTAAAAACATATTTAATTATTAAAAATAAGACTAGTAACTGAGTATCTGGTTGGTTGTATAAGATATTCAAAATGTAGGCTTGGCCATACAACAAAATTTGCCTTTCTTCAAACGTTGGTTCCGTATTTAGGTCTTGTTTCTCGTGGCCTTGGATTCAATTTCTGATAAGTCACTTTGCTCGAGGTCATTGTTAGGTTGAAACCAAAAATAAAAGCCAACTGTAGACAATGATTTCGGTAAACCAAGATAAGCACACACGAAATTGACCACACTACTTTATTGACAGTTTCTTTCTTGGCAAGAAATTAAAATTCAAGGTAGCAATACGTCAGAAAAAACAGAAATTATTATTAATACGGTAAATAAACTGGAAGTCCAATCTCAGCACCACTCTTGGGAGCCAGAAGGCGTCTTTCAACCACCAATCGAGATAAGAGCTTCGTATAAGAGACTATCGAACTCATTCTTATTGCTTAGCTTTCCTCCTTGATAAACTATTCTGATTTCAGACTGATTTACCACCCGTGCAATTATGCACGTATAGGATTTAACAGTAGTGAGGAGCAATTCGCACATAGAAAAACTCTAGTTATTTCGGGGAGAAAGTATCCATCAAGAGTCAAATATTGTGACCCACAGCATATGCACTTTGCGTAAGAGCAAACAGGTGGAAGGGATGTATCAAAACCTCACAACGAGATAAAAAATAAAGTCAATACCAACCGTTACACTGTACACAACCAATAGATAGCAATTCTACTTGTCCATTACACATGATTGCGCGGTCATGGTAGTTCAGTTGAAAATCAATTGGATCTAGAACTTCAACATCAAGTAGCATGTATATGTTGGCTAAAAAATGATTCCATTGTCATAAACCAATTCTACAACATTGGTTAAGAAATGATAAAAAAAAATTCAAGGTAAAATGTGCCTTATGTAAAGCAGAAATCAATAAAAAAAAGACAGTGAGGTGGCAGCATACTGTGCTCTGCAAAGTTTTCAAATACAAGGGATAGCATTGTAACAACGCATTAATTGACTCTCATCACCTGCCGATAACTTGAATGTGAGGAATAAGCTGCGACACTTGATCGAAGCAAAAAATACTCTAACCCATGTTTTGTACGTCATCTTGTCTTTTCCTAGGCAAGTCCAAATAGTAAGTACTAATTAGAAATTGAGATTGCCAAAAATCTCTTATGGTAGCGTTGAAACCAAAATTATACACAACATAACACTATTCCCCATTTTCAGGACATACACCTCACTTTATGTTGTCACAGTTTCCCATATATAATTCATCGCGCTAGGCAAAATTAGTTGTCTATTAATAATCTCATAGAAGTTCAACCTTCCAATACTTACTCTTACCTTTAAAATAAAATCCATACCATTTGCAACAATCCTTTTATCATTAGAAAGAGTGTATGAGAAAACAGACAACTGTTAGCAATTTGCTTACGTACAGTAATTTGTCTAAAGGAGGGATAAGTAATCCCATTGAACCTAGTAGCTTCAAACTTTGATTGTTGTTAAGACCACGGCTGGAAAAATTTCTTTTTCTTTGCTCCCTACAAATGGCCATGTGGATAACTCACTACATCAAATCTCAACCATTAAAAAAAAAAGCTACTTAAGTTACTCTAAAATTATTTGTATCTACTCAGGATGCTTGCTTTGAGGTATATAAGTACATTCCCAAGTATGCTATTCTTGGATCAACTAAAATACATGTTTGGTTAGAATTTAATATTTATGGAAATACTATTTTCATAATTTAAATAATAGTAAAAAGATAAAAGGGGAAGTGGAAATGAGAGATACCAAATGTTATGGTTGGGTTATATAATAACAACATCCCAATCCGTAATCATGACATGGAAAATAAAGTCAAATCTGAGAATGACACATCAATGGCAATTGAATCAACAAGCCCAAAAAAATATCTTTAAAGCTTATGAAGAACACAGGAATGTCATATTCCTAAGTTCACATTTCGAGGAATAATGTTACATAACATGGAACAATCACACCTCGCAGTGCGTTATCATGCTCTAATTGTTCAATTAAACGTAGATATCCCACTTGGGCTGACAAATAGCCAGGCAGATGACTTAGTTGGTATAAACAAGTTCTCTAGATAAGCCTCATCCTCAGGTATTATTCCTGCTTGGTTTAGCGATAGTTTCAAATGTCATCACGCCAAATTCCTAAGCCCAAGTAAAAGCTATTTCCTGTAGCTTCTCATTTTCAACACCCGTCGTCAGCTTGGAAAGCACAACCAAAGATACACTTGGTCTTCTCTAATTTTACAAGCCGAAAACTTTCTAATTCTTAATTAAATAATGGAATTTCTAGCAACCCACCAGCCCCAGAACAAAATGTCATGAAAAACAACTAACAAATTGGTGGGCAAAAAGATTTTAAACTGCATTAGCGACACGCGAGACCCAGCTTGAGGCCAAAACTCCATAGTGCTTTACATGGGAAGAGTTCCATAAAAGTAACTCATTGTGCTGGTTGAAATAAAAAATTGAGTGATACATGCTCTATCTAGAGCTTATTGAACTAGTAACTAATGACCAAAAATACTAACCAATCTCTACTTTAACTACTAACTGACAACCTACGCCGGGAAAATGACCAAAATCACTACAAAAGCGGCTTATGGGGTCTGAACTATGGTGGCAATATAGTTGTGGAAACTTCCAAAACTATGAAAACCACGCGAGCAACATGTAAAAACATGAAAGCACACTCCCCAGCCACCCTAAACAAAACACATGATCCTACAAGAACAAAGCTAATCAGCAACATTTCATACCTCATTATTCCATGGAAACCTTTGCGCCAACCGCCTTCATCTTGGCAATGATGCTCTCAGCCTCTTCTTTCGTGACTCCTGTCTTCAACACCGCAGGCACCTTCTCCACCAAATCCTTAGCTTCCTTCAACCCCAAACTCGTGAATGTCCTCACCTCCTTAATCACCTTGATCTTCCCCGCCGCATCGAAACCCTCAAGCTTCAAATCAAACGCCGTCTTCTCCGCCACCTTCACCTCTCCACCCTCTACGCCGCCGCCACTCTTTGACGCACCCCTCGGCAAGCCCCGCACCTCCATTCCCGGCATCATCAGCATCATGATCGGAAGCTCGTTGACACCGCGCTTTTCGCGCATCACCTCCACCAGGTCTATCACTTCAAGTAAAGTCAGTCCCATCACTTCGTCTACGATCGCCGATACCTTCTCCGAAGTGTGCGACTGCGACGCGACGCAGTAGCCACGCGCGTAGGAAGGTCGTGGTAGGGGTTGCGCGTTGGGTAAGATCGAGATCCGCGCGGAAGCGAGGGGAGGGTTTTGATGTGGAGTTAGGGTTTGAAGGAGATGGGATACGTGTTTGAAGCGGGAACAGAACTTCATTGTTAATGGTTGTTGAGGAAGTTAGTGGTAAGTTTTGTTTCTCAACATCGCATTGAATTGGATGAGGGAATTGAAGAAGCTGTTGGAGTGTAACGGTCAGTCAGTGTGATGAGATGAGAGTGGTGACAGGGTCTCTGTCTTCCGCCTAAACCCTACACGAAGACGACGCTTATCTGTTTTACGAATTTGCCCCCTCCGTTCACACTGAAATGGAAAGTGATCGAATAACTACCCTCGAGTTTGGGCTTGGTTGGGCCGGCCTGGTTTCATTTCGGTGATGGCTCCATCTTCCTGCACTCCTTGATTGCCCATGCACCCTCCATAGACAAAGACGAAAATACTCTTAGGAAAACTTCATGAATTATGATATTTTGAGACACATTACATCCATTTCATTTTATACATAAAATAGTGGTATAAAAAGTGATTTTTTATATTTATAAAGAAATTAAAAATAAATAAATAAAATGAATGTAAAAAAAAAATTATGTTTGACAAACACGGAAACACTAATAAGATTCTTGGTGTTAGCAAGAACATGTAAAAGGTGATTTAAGTATATCTTTTTGTTCATACAAGGATTGCTATATTTTGTTGTGCCAATATGAATAATAGTCATACCTGATACGTTACCTATTTTAACAGCATCATTGCCATTATATGGAGTCTTCTTGGTGAAGGTTTTGTTGTCGATGGTAATATGATGAATTCACTAATGAACGTTAACAGTGTCACATTTTAATAACTAATAAAAATTAAAAATCAACAAAATACAATTTCAAGTTTTAAAAATATGTAAAAGTTAATTAAAAATTTGTGAAAGTATGAAGATCTAAAATTTAAATTTGATTACAATGTTGCAGTGTGATTTCTCTCCTCAAACAGTCAGTACCGAAAAATAAGACCTTTATAAATGAATTGGAATACACAAATTTCGTGCACACAAAAGTAATACAAAAAGCCTAAACCCCAGTGGAAAAACAATGACAAGGAGTCATGATGAATTCAACTTTTATTTTTCTGAGCAGAAACAAAACGAACATAAATTAAATGTTGTCACATATGCATGACTATAACATGTTTGATAGTATGCAGCAATGATTGCTTCTTCAAGCGTTGATCTTCCGGCAGTTCTCTCTGATCTCTCCCCTTGAATCTATCAGAGGAGATATGTTCCCCATCTTGATCATGGACTTGGCGAACTGTTCAAAGAAAATGTCATTACTTTCAGCATAGGACTTCACTAGTTCAGCTGATTCTTGGTCTGTGAGAAGGATTTGGTCAGAACTCAAGAGACCCTTGTAAGCCAAAAGGTTCTTGAAGTAGGTGTTGTCAAATTTATATGGGGTGGCATAGTCTAGGAAGAACAGGTTCTGGTCACCCCCAGATCTTGGACACCTATTGCGCAATGCGGCAGCATAGTATTGGTCAAGAGTGGAATCTAGCTTGCCATTGCCACTGATTTGGCTATAGAGTCTTTGCCTGAAGGTGGTGCATCTGGCATTTCCTATGGTATGACCCCCTATAGCAATTGCATAAAACTTGTTTAGAAAAGGAAGTATATCAGATAAATTTAACTCAGGTTGGTGCATGCTGACATGGGGATAGCAGAACATCAACAATGAAGTCTTATCTCAGTATTGCCATCAAAATTTACCTATGTACAGATTTGATCACAAAGACCAGAAACATGCAAGTTTGAGTTTAAGGAATATACCAGATAGAGCAACTAGATCAACAAGGTCAAGTCCATGAAGCCGGAATTTTGTAAGAATGGTCTGAAATGTGTTATTTGGGGCTGGAATGTTGTTGTTGGAGCCACTTATGCTTGCATCTCTAGAGTCCCTTCTTCCTAAAGGTACTTCCCAGCTTGGTCCACCACTCTGTACATGTATGAAAGGGATAGTGAATCAGGTTTGATAAAAATGGGAAAGTCAGGTTAAAAGATCAGAAAATGTTTTTATTTTTATTCCCTGATTTCTCTTTCTAAAATGTAAAGAAAACAGCAACATTTTTCTGAAACCAAATCACCATGAGAGAGGGTAGTGAGGTTCTTACAAGAACAACTGAATCTCTTGCAGCTAGAGTCAAGATGTCAGCACAAGAAACTGTAGAAGGGCATTCTCTCTCTAATGCAGCTTTAATTGCATCAATGACTTCAAATCCTCTGGCTGAATTACGGTTTGGGTTTGATCCCTTCTCACTGATGATGCTCTCACTGCTATCTAACAGCAACGAAGCATCACAACCCTGCAACATACCTTGGCACTAAGAATTTGAAAAAGCATCTGGATATATACATATAACATATATAAGTATATGTTTAATGAGACTTAGAAGAACAACATCACATAATAATTTAACTATATTTACCCATTAGGATTAAGAACTGACATATAATTATGATACTGATAAATGCTAATGATGCGAAGCTTTTGTCATATACAACTAACTTGTATAGTGTTAACAGGATTAATGTATAGTTCCTAATAGTAATCTTGTTAGAAAAAAGAAGGGAAAGACCTTGACAAAGCAATCATGGAAATGAAGCCTGAGAATAGAAGCTGGCAATCGGGGTTGCTGTTGAACATACTTGGCAAGGATGGACTTGACGATATTCTGAGCTTGTGGGCATGAATAGTCGTAAAACTGAGGGTAGAGTTTACCCTCTTGGTAGTAGTTACAGAAACACAAGGGAGCAAAGGCTAGCAAAGAAAGAAGCAAGAAAAAGCTCATGGAAGTGGCCATTGTTGTTTATTTCAATATAACTTCAAGCTACAAGAAAAATAGAAAGTGGTTGAAGGGAAGTAAGTTGTCAAACTCTGGCTGCATATTGCATGGTGCTGTGATGGGGAATGGTATTTATAGAAAAGAAAGATGGTGAAAAATTACTGCATTACAAAAAAGAGATGGGAGGAAGGAACGAAAAAGTTGGAGTTGGTAGCTAACCAATTTTCATATCCTTAGAGACAAGGGAGGAAGAATGGAGTTAGTAGCTTTTCAATAAAATATATTTAACTAGTCTGAACGATTCAAATATTGTCAAAATTTATAATGTCATAATTTAACATTGAGGTTTGCTATTTATATTTTAAATCCTAATTTAATTTTATTACAAAATTAGTTTATAAGATGAATTTATATATTGTAACTTTGACTTATTTTTAGTTGATAGTTGATGTGAAATTTTTAATATATTTTTTTATATGAAAACATATTTATCTTAAACATGAAACTAAACATTATTGAATATTTCGATAATAGACTCAACAAATAACTAATCTATAGATTTTAGATGATTCTTAAATTAAAAAGTAAATTTTAAATTTAATTCAACTTACAACTTATAAATTTGTTTTATATATCTAATAAATATAGAATCTTAATATCTTTTGAGAATAATCTATTGCTATATATATCACATTTCTATTGGATTAATATTGTAAGGAGCACGAGAGAGTTTGTAGTTGGCATGCTTAGTAATCACTTGAACCTATATTTATGTAAGCAAATAGTGTGAAAGCTTAAGATCTAAGGTAACACAGTTAAAGAAAAAAGCAAACATGCTTGACATAGAAATAGCATAAGTTTTTGAGCCTGTTCCTGGGACAATGTTATCGTATTCTTGCAGTTAAAGTCATGTTTGATTATACCTAACTTGTGGTATATCTTATTTCAAGATCTGTGAGAATTCTTTTTTATTTCACATATACACAATCTTTTGCTTTACATTAACTAAGATCAAACCTAATTGTATTTTTTAGATTAACTTTTTTCTTATTGGAAAGTGCTTGTAAATTTTATAGCATAAACACACCTTAAGGTCAAAGACTAATGCTGTTTAATGAACAAGTAAAATAAAGATGATTTAGCAGGACCGAGCTATCTGGTTCCTGTAGTGCTTCCAGATGAATACGACAATACCAAATGGCAGCTTGGTCAATCTGCAGGTTATGATCTGTGTCTTATTAGAGAGACGCCATAATTAAAGTTGACTCACCTACTAAGTTGACTTTGTAAAGTAGTTTATTTCAAGTTTTTCTATATTACAAGAAAACATTTATTAAACTGTCTTATTAACTTTCTTACGTAAGATAGATTTTGTTTATCTTAATTTGGTTGCTTCACTGATGCTAGAATTAACATTATACTTCATATTTTTTTAACCATGCTATTTTTAACTTTATTGTTAACTATTTTGCAAATATTTAAAGATGTATAAGATATATAGAAAAATGTATAATATACAACAACTGAAACTAAAAATACGATTAAAATAATTAATCTACGAATAAAAGCTACAAGATTTTAAAGTTAATTAAAAAGTATAATTATCTTAAAATGTATTTATCAACAAAAAATTATATAAAAAGTCATATGATATTTTTTTATGTTAAGTTTATACCCAGATAACTTCAATAGTTAATTGTACTGAATAAGTATAAAATGAGTCAGTTAATGATATAACCCCAGTGAGATATATTTTTGAAGCTGCTCTGGTCGACCTATCATATTAGATGTGAATGCTTTTTGACTTCAAAACCTTCAACAATAGTTAAATTATTATGCATCTTTTGATGGGTTAGGATATACAAATAACTAAGCAAAAGTATAATAAGGTAATAGAAGATAAATTTGTGATAAAATGTGGTGAATGGAATAGGTATGGTTGGATACCAACTATGTTTTGCAGAATATAACTAGTTTAATGTTCAAGTGGGATTGTCTTCTATTGGTTTAGCATTATATGCATAGCCTTACTTACTATGAAGATAAATGTTGCCCAATGTATAGTATATTATGGTATGAGCATTCAAGAGAATAATAAGCTTGGATTATAAAGTGTGTTAGCTACAACTCTGTCCACTCTCCTTGGGTCTTTTATCATCATAAAATAACTTCAGCCACAGTTGTCAAATCGAATTCATCTAAAATTATGCCCTCAGTTATTAGCAAGCTAATTCAACTTCACTCGTTCATTTTTACCATTGCAATTATCAATTCGAATGACGAAGAATACATTTACAAAAAATATTTACATTTGGTGAGATTTGTTTAGCAGCATTTTGTTAAGAGTTCATAAAGAAATCACCTTTTTAGGTTTTTCTGCAAATTTAACCAAAAAAAACTGACGAAATATTTATAAGAAAAGTCTAACAAAATTTGAAAATTTTAATAATAATCATAACAAGTTAAAAAAAATTAAAACAAAAATCATACTATTCGTTATTTGTTGCATCCTCCTATTTCGTTAGGAGAGTGGCTTTACAAAACAGAATGAGTATATCTTTGTCATTATTTGATTCCATATATATGTATATATATATATATATATATATATATATATATATATAGTTTAATCGTAAAATAAAAAATGTGTAAAGCTTAAATTTAGATGTATTTTATAATGTTGTAATAAATAAATAATATTAATATAAAGATAATATTACATTATATAAAATATTTTTAAATAAAAAAATTTATTAATAATGCATAATTATTTAAAATATCGCACTTTGTAAAAACATATAAAATACAGGACTAAGTTATAACTCAGTATAAAATTAATTCATTTACTATAATATTAGTAATTCGTTGAAGGAAGCATACCCACCACAAAAACACACATCACCATCAGTAAGACATATTTGGGAAATAAACCGAGATCGTAAGAAAAACTTGGGAAATCAACTGAAATGAAAAATAAACTCATTTATGCATATGTTGTCTGAAGGGGTTCTGATGTTGATAAAAGAAACACTGCATTAACCAAGTATGAGTAATAATATATATGCATAATTTCTAAATTTTTAAATTAGGTAGGAAAATAGAGATAAGTATAAATATATTCATTTCATCCGTGTTTCGATACTTGTTTCTATACCAATCTTCAATTTAAATCTCTAAAACATTAAGTAACTTAAACAAACTTATATTCATTATTTTTTTCTACTTAATCTCATATAATTTGAAAGTCTTATTTCTTTTGATGACCACAATTTTATACTCTCACAATTACTATTCAATTTATTCAATATTTACAAAATTTACTTGACATATGCTTAGCTTAAATTATCTTCTCAGAAATAATAGATCATATCAAATCTTTCAGGCTGATGAAAATTACAATTATTTCTTTAAAATAAAGTAAACCAAAAACACATTTAAGCCTTTTAAAATATGAATCAAACAAAAACAATAGAACCCTATCAGAATTTCTATAAAATTCATTAAATGGAATTCAGCAACTAGGTTGATACTATAACTACCCTTTTCTTCTATCTGTGATTTTTATGTTTACAAGAAAAAATATCAGAGGGCCTTCGAAGCCCTCGTAATGAGTTGATACAAACAACATATTTGGCAGAAGAAATTCCCAAAAAGTAGATAACATGATGGCAGATTGTGAGTAAACAAAACAAAATGAATGACGGTACACTTTCAAATGGCACCATATTTTCTTTCTGATGGTTTCCATGTACCTTGTGAGGGACCAGGAGGACGTTCCCAGGAGGCTTCACTGCCAAAGGCACTATTGACTTCTTCTGGGCGTGAGTAGCCATGCCCAACTCCACTAACCTATTGTCATGACACTCAACAAATGTTAGATATGCAAATGAAGTAGGCAAACCTGCTAAACAAACTTGCAAACTGCAATGTTGATTTTGCTGTGCATATGATGACATTTCATTCTTTTTAGTTTGAATCAAGGTAGGAAAGTACAAAATTTGGGAACAATATCAAAAGCAATGGTGGCAACAAAAGCTTGAACATTCTCTATTATTTGGTAAATTTTATGTGGGTCACACGAAAAAACAGTTACCCACTAATAAAATGTGTCTGAAGCTTGCGTTTTCTTAGTTACTACTGTAGTTAATATTTAACGCCATTGGTGATGTATGCGCAATACGCATTTCTGCATATTTAAATGTTTTTGAAATAAAAATCTCATTTTTTAAGTGAAGCTTAAACGTAACTTGCCATTAATGAAGAGAACAGGGGAGTGTTATTCTTAGGTTTTGCTAACAACCACCTCATGGGCACTATACTAAATAATAGGAAGTTTTTAAACTACTAACTTTCAATTGCTTAACCAGCGTGCTAAGAATACTTATTAACATTCTCTTTGCTCTTATTCATTTTTTTTTTCCATAAAGCTTAATAAAAGTTCTTATTCTATTGACAAGCCTTCTCAATTAGACCAATAAATATAAATATAAAAATTAAAGTTAACCTATCTAAACCAATATTCACTATATATTCTAATTTCTCTGCATATGTTCTTTTTTTATATATATAAATTATATAAAAAGAAATTGTGATGTTCACCATATGCTTAAAATTCCTCAAACTCATGGTATAACACTTTAATGGAATGATGTCTAATATTTAGTTTAATGAAGCTCAACCTAATAAGAGTAATTTGCTGACTCTTAAAAAAGACCCAATATATTATCAAGTTCAGAGTTAAACAACTATTAATCAACAGTTCCAATAAAAATTAACAAGTAGCTCAGAACTCACTGTCTCTAAGCACGCAGAAAGGATAGTCATGCCAGGCAAAGCATCAATTCCACGCTGCAAAAGGTTAACATGTTAGATATTCAAGATAAGCTATGAAGAAGTCGCAGAACACTGAAGAACACATTGGGTCTTATACTGGCAACTTGCAAGTGAAAGAAATATACTGACCTGCCGTTCCACTTTCGTCTTGTAAATGAACCCTCCACAGCAAAAGAGTGTTGAAAAGACAAAAAATCTGCCCAAACATAAATTGAAGATGAATAAAAAAGAATAATAAAATATTGTGATGTGTATATGATGACTACAAGAAATCTTTTTAAATCATTTATTAACCACTACAATATTAGCCCCTAATTCTTGGTTTAATTCTTTCATTTTGCATAATCGAATACAGATTAAATATAAGAGAGTTTCTATACATGCAGGACAGCACTCCAAATATTGCCCATCCTCGTGTGCGACCTCCCCCAGGATCCTGCGTATAATCTGCAACAATCAACAGGACTGGTCGTTCATTCAACAGAAACGGTAGTTGAAAGAAGGAAAGTAGGTAAAATTGAACAAACATGACCTTTTAGTCCGTAACACCTAAAAATCATCCTTTTTAGTCCTTAGACATACTATCCTAAGTCTCTTTTAGTCCTTAAGCATTTTAGAGTGTAAGGACTATATAAATTTAAAAATAATATGCAAAGCGGTGAAAATAGATTAAAATATTATTTGTAACGATTAAAATGAATAAGTTTTAAGTACAAGGACCAAAATTAAAGTTCATATAGCTCAAGTACTAAATTACTAACTAAACCATAAAATTTAAATACCATAAGCATAATGCCCACACTCGTTCAGTATTCATATTCATTAAATGCATATAAAGAACAAGAGGAATAACAGTAGAATTTAAATTTTCTAGCTTTACTATCACTCACCACATTGTTTTGTAAGCACAAACTGAATTGGCTCATAACCCTCAACAGGGATTGTGATATTAACTTCATATGGGGTATCACGGGCCACCTCACCTGGAAAGAGTGGAAACATTAAGTTTAGCGAATGTAACTCAGCAGGAAACTGATGCTCCTAAAATAAGTGGGGCCATACATCTCCAATCAACAATCAACATTGAGGGTGACAAAGTTGTCGGAGGCTTCCCTTTGTCAGCAGATCCAGACAATCTAACTTCCAGGCCATTATCTGGATGTACCTAATAAGCAGCAGTCAACAATAGTCACGTCCTCAGTGCCTTGATGAAAACCGAAAACAGTACCCCGGAGACTCTAATTCAATAAAAAAAAATGTACCTTTAAACTAGGCTTTTGAACCAGGGAAGAAAGTGAGGCAACAGCAGTCATAAACAGGACTACCTGAGTTTGCCCTGTATGAAAGCTGTAAAAAGAAAACAGAACATATTTGTAATAATAGAAGGAAAGCTTGGGTAAGTGAAACAATACCACTGATAACAAAAGAATAAGATGTCAATGATTAACTACAAGAAGTGATAGCAGCAACAATCCTGACCTAAAATCATGGTGGGGTTTCTCAAAACCAATTTGGGTCAAGCCATTATAAACCTACAATTTCATAAGAGGCAAATTTAGTATTATAATTCAATTTAATAGATAATGTAGTATCATAAAACTGCATGCAGATTTATAATACTAAATTCAGTCTTATAAATCTACATTTCATTTGGGTATTACATTAATTGGTTTGGCCCTTCGAGTGGATTTTAGCATCAAAACAGTCTCTACAAGTTTTTGTAAAAAATAAGGTCTAAAAGCTATTGTCCCAATGGGGACCAAATTGAAATTATTCAAGTTGCACTTAACTGGCAAACAGCATAGAATATAAAAAAAGACCATAATGCACTGCATACTGTGTTAGGAATCTTCAGAATTTAACAAGATCACCTGCTGAATTATGCATTCTCTTGTTAAAAATTGAATATCAACTTCAATTACATATATACCAGTCCTTTGGTTTAGTATTAATAAAATGAAAATGGCAATTTTTCATATATCATTCAGTGATAATTATTATACTGCAATTTTAAAATTTATTAATATTTTTTACTTCATACAAAAATTATTAATATTATGAAAATTTCAAACTATCTCAAAATGCTGTTGGTTATTAAAATAATATTTGAAGCAATACATGAAAACAAATCTGTAGACTACACTAGAAAATGGAGATGACAAAAAATAAAAGATAATGAGAACGAGAAACAAAATTCAGAAGAAAATATTTAGGAAATGAGTTATTGAGTGCAGACATAAAGAGAAATATCAGAAAAAGTTATTGGAAACAGATGCACCTCAGACAGGAGAACGTGATGATAAAATATGGGTGGCATGCCAGAATGTGATAAAGGGGAATCAGTGAGTGACCAGAAAGAGAGATACATCACACTTGATAATTAAAATAGTGAACAGATTAAGATTGTTTTATTCTTAGTTGATCTACCCTTTTTAATGGGACCAAATTGTCCCACTATTTAATTTCTATATTCTGTCCTGTTCTATTTTCTAAATACAATGAGTATATGTTATGTTTTGTTCTCCAAATGTATTTCTGTTCTCTCATTTTCCCTTTCTAAAACTTGTTTGGTCTCCTGCAAATGATTGGTAGTAGCAGAGGTGCCAGGCATGTTGGGATGCCTGGCTCTATTGTGATGCTTTTGCATGCCTTTTTGCGTTAAAAAATGATATGTTCAGTTTCTGTTCCAACTTGTCAACCAAACACTATGATAGGAATATAACTCCTATTAGGAGACTCTCAAATTACTTGCATTCTTGTACCATACTATACGTTCTTTAGGCCTGGTTCCACATTGAGACAGATTAGAACGAATAAAGTTCTTGCAAAATATTAAATTTTGTCTCCCTAGTTGGGACCAGTTCTATCACGGTCACCCTACCTCAATGACCCAAATTTATCATATAAGACCACTTTGATGTCAATTTTATTTTGGAGTAAATTGATGTTCCAATATTGTAGTGAGGACTGAATGAGAGTTCCCTCTAATTTAATTCCGTGTATTATGCATATTTTCTTCAAGCAAACATAGTGTAAGTGGTAGAAACTGCTCACAAGTTCCCATGATCTTGGATGAAAACCAACAGTGAAGCCTTGAAATACGTGAGGGCCTGGTTTACCACATGGTATTGCAAGATCCACTAAAACTCTGAAAGACATCAAGGATGACGTGATTTATACACATCCAAAAAACTAATATAAGAAATCAAGAACAGTAATAAAAAGCATACATTATTTCTGAAAATAGTAAGATGAAAAGAAGTACATTAACAAACAAGACAATCATCATGATATGGACTAATAACAGTTCTAAAGTAATTAGTTTAGTAAAAATATTTCTATTCACAATTTTTCTCCTTTTTCACATTCAAGAACAGAAGGAAACTGTACTGATTGCACACAAATAATCTGGTATTAATAATATTATATATATAGTATCATTACAACTCAGCATAATTATAGACAATAATTCCTAAACACCAGCTCTATGAGGAAATACACAACCATGCAGTGGGTCTAACTCAACTCTAAAATTTAGCTGAAACAAGAGGATTGCACCAAGACTTACTCAGACAAGGAGGACAATGGACATATTCCTAACCATGTAAAACATCTAAACATACCTCCCATTGTGGAGAATAATTCTTGTAAATAATAGTCTATTCATCAATAATAACCAATACAAATTTTTGGTCTCTTTAGAGCTGTACAGTTTTTAGCCTCTTTAAATTTCTTAATCAAACATAATCTAGTCTATACATGCTGTAATCATCTAATGAAGAAAAAAACATCAGCCAGTCAAGTTTTTTAAGTTTTCAAGTTTTTGTTACAAACTTCTCCATTGATTTTTATATTTCAGTGTTGGTCCCATATAACTCTTTTATTTGCATATTGACTCCAGTATTACCATTCATGTGGGTTTTAGTCTCACAAGGATCAATACCTTAATACGTGAAAACTATAGAAAGAATGAAATCCTTCATGGAAAATAAAGGGCATTACTTAAATGAGTTGTAATTGTAGGAGGACTAAAGCATATAAAGAAAAAAAAAACAGATACCTTATACGCTAAGGATCAATATCTAAATACGTGAAAAAATAGGGATCAATATCCAAAGGTAAAAACACAACACAAACACAATTGGGTTAATTTCCCACTCAAACCTAAGATATACATTTAAATGGGAGAGAGCAAAAAGAGAAGTCTTCAAACAAAGTGTTATTGCCTTTAAAGCACCAACTTAAAGAAAAGAACATTCTTTAATGTGACTCAAAAATTAACATAGTGAAATGCTTAATTGATAACAAACAAATGTAAGTTTTTGAAATCTCAATTTTACAATGAAAAATGAGAATCCAGAACATGTAAAGTATCAAAGACCTGCAGTTTGATTCATATGTGACATTACATATGCATCCAGGACGACCTGCAATAGAAAAAAAAACATGTGAGTGCTACTTGAAACGGGACTTAAGTAGAAAAAGTGTTTTCAACATGGCACCAAGACAGTTTATGACCAACATCTTGGAGAAATTTTACACAGATCTCTCAACGATTTGTTATTATCTCCCTAGATTTTTTCCTCTATTTTTCAGATTTATGTTTATCCTGTACATTTCAATTATTTTTGCTTCTAAACGGCCATAAATATAGCTCACCAAAAACAAAAGTGAGTGGAAAGGAATAAGGGTTGGATCATTGCTAGTACTAACAAATATAATAAAATATGTTCATACCTTTACATAGTCCATTCGAACAATTCCCACATACCATATTAACCTGAAAGACATAAATGTAAATTGAGAAAGACTAACACACCGCATAATGAAACCGTTGTGCTAACGAATTACATACTTCTTATGGTAATAGACCAAAAACGTGAAGTGTTTAGCACGTCAATAAGCTAGCTTCTAATTTATTGGACTAAATTATAAACTGTTTTACCAAGCAAACTTACCTCACTAGCAGACATCTTATATGATTGTAATTTTCTTCTTCCAGTTTTTTATTATTGTTTTAAATGCAGTTCCTTTTTTACCCTCTCTTTTTATTAAAAATTTGCATAGCTACTATTTAATACACTGGCTTATTTAGGGGGGTTTCTTCATGTTTTTGGAATGGAAATTGTGAATGAAGAAGTCCTACATTGGGTAAAAGTAAACAAATTGAGTAACATATAACAAAACATAAACTTAAAGCCGTAAAGTTTTAAGTTGAATGCAGTGCTAAGTTTACTTGTGTAATTCTCTCCTAGCTTGTTGATGAAGGTTTCCTCAATGTTATATCCCACTATGTATTTCATAAGATGTGGTATTGAAACCTTGGGAGCAATCAACTGACCAATTCATAGAATTACTTAAGTACAAGTAGTGAGTCCATGTGGGGGTCCTTGTATCAAATCTTCGAAAGCTTCCTCAGAATGTTAAAGTTGGATAGTGTGTCCCATTAATAGTAGATAGCAACAGTATCAGTACAACTGTACAAGTAGTGTCGCCCTTTCTAAAACTTCTAGATGAAACAAATACAACTTGTACTTGAGGGTGAGCACAGCATATGAAAGAGATTCACTCTTGAGAGGGAGATTGTTGGAATAACAAGTCATTGAGCAAAAAAGTTCCATATTGGGTAGAAATAGACAAGTTGACCAAAATTAGGCGTGAAGGAGCCATATTCCTAATGTCTTAAGATTTTTGGGTTGAATGTGTTGTTAAATTCACTTGTGTAACCCATTAACGGAAATTTCTCCAATGTTTCTAACTCCCGCAGATTTTGTAACACAATACTATTCACTATAACTATTACAGTATTTGGTTTAATTTTTAACAAAGTATTGAACCATTACAAAACTAATAAGAAAAGTAAATTGACAGAAAATCGAAACTAACCTAAACATATTTTTTCCTACAAAACAAAAGATATAATCCATATAAAAAGTTATACAAATATGCTCTTTATTTCATTTTGACATTATATAAGCTCTACTTCAACAACTTTTCTCAAACATGTTTAATTCAATATGCTAATTTACAAATTTTAATCTAGCTTATAAAATTTAAGCCAGCCTATAGATTTTAAACTAGCTTATCAGCAAATTTTGGCATATATATCCTTAGCCTAATCGGCACTAGATTCCATCACAATTCCTTCCTCGGAACCTATGCTTGGTCATACACCCTTTATTCATGAGATCTATTCATGTTCAAAAGTCGTATGCTAGTAGATTACTTGATTTAAAGATAAATGATCAAAAGTAGAAATTTCAGGATTGCACCAACCTGGGCTGTTCGTCCCATTTTGTCATAACTTTGTTCACAACCCATAAGATCACCATTATAAAACTCCTACACATAGAGAAAATGGCTTAGAAAGCAGGGGTGACAGTATAAAAAAAGGATGTGGTCTGAGACCAATATGTAAAATATCAAGTTTGAAATAATATATGTTTTTGTGTATATGTCATGAAACTCTACCTATGCACTTACATTAGTACTGCTAATCTCTACATGAGGCCCATGTAGTCTCACATTGACCGTAAAGAAGATTGCAACAATTTTGAAATTAAATCCTTTGAATATCAATCATATTTGCAACATGAAATTGTTTCAGTCTTTCATAGATTTAAAAAACTGCTTGTGACTAAAAATATCAGCATGCTCCAAGGGGAATTTTTGAATCTTTCATTATTATATGAACACATTTAACATCTTGCAATATGTACGACACTGCTAAATATTCTCACTAAGAAAAGAGTTCAAATCGAAAGCATTGGAAGAATAATATATAAATTATAACAATTCCCTAATGTTGGAAAGAATGTAAATAGGGGTAACCTTAGCTCTACATATCTTGTATTTGTAGTAATTAGGGTAACCTCACTCATGGTTTTTATTTTGTTCACCTAAAAATAAAAATACAGAATAGGCAGAAAGATCTTACTTGCATAAAGTCATGTTGGCCAGAACCAGCAACGAAGTAGTTGAATTTATCAAATCGGCCAAAACTAACATATCCCTGATGGTTTTAGGCATCAGCTAATGAAGTTAAAATATATAATACACCAAATATAAGAAACAAGAAAGAACATTCTTATTCAATTGATTAATGTGAAACAGTACATCAACCTCTATATATAGAGACCTCTAACCCTATAGTAATAATTAAATAGAGATCTCTAAAATCTTCTAACAACTTCTTGTAGTACACTTAATATTCTACTAACAACAACTTGTATGTGCCACTCAAGCGGTGTTACTAGTGGATTGTTGTGTCTCAGTTTTGATAAAATCTTCAAATGTTGTTGGAGATGGATCAACCGAGCATGTAGGAACAAGTGGAAGTGGAATAATTAGACTCATCAATCTTCTTAGTACTCACAATATGATTAGAAGAGATGGGTGAATCTATTTTGGAGGTTGATGTGGTTTTGAGATATGATACGAGAATAAATAAAAATGTTCTTAATAATACATACATAATTTATATATTTTTTATTATATAGGATCAGTTCCTTATTCTAATATTCTTGATTATACAAGATTAACTCCTTATTCCCACAATTATAACAATAATAATAAAAAATGAAAGACGCGAATAAAGTTCCCATGGTCATCCTACGACCATTTTCTAAAAATAGGGGATGAAAGAAAAGGAAATAGAAACAAAAAATACATCAGCAGAAAAGTGTCCATATCCCTATGCAACATGTTAAAACCTCACGCCAAAAAAATAAACAAGTAGCCACTAAAATTAGTCTATTCAATCCCCAGCTTGTCAAGAGAAGGAAAGATAAATAGGTTGAACTCAGACACCTATCAGTAGAACATATAAGCAACTTGTGAGTTAACTGTGTACGATATGAATGAATCAAACAATGATTTTATGTCGCTATCCTTTTAAGATTTATTGTAATAATCCTGACCAAGTTAAATATGCTTTACATTCTTCAGACATGGTGCCTTAAGTGCTTGAAGCGAATTATACCGAGAGGATTATAAGATGCAAGAGAACACGCAAGTTCTTCCTCAGATAACACAATACTCTACACAGAAGAGGGAAAGGGGAAGAATTAGATGAATGATAATGAAAACATGGTGGCATGCACTACCGTTTGTGATCTACTCTCCACATCTTTGCAGAATCGTACGATCAGGTCAGGGCCTTGCTGCATCAACAGTGAAAAACTGAGCAGCATGTCTAGGTCTAAAATTGAACACATGAACATGATCATTCATATAGGCAAAAATAACACTCAGAGCATTACCTGTTGATCATACTCGAAAAGGTAACCACTCCAGCCATTCTAATTAACCAGTTAAGCAAAAACAAAAGCATAACTAACCGAGCCATCAGTATACTAAAACCCAAATCAATGAATCAACTACACAATTACGATTATGAATATAAAAAATGCAATCCTCGATAAAAGTGCACAACACGTAGAGCGTTTAGAAATGAAGGATACGAAATCAACTAAGCGACTTGAATTGTCGAAAGCGTAGCAGTTGGAAGTCGGCATCGAAACTGAAGCCATCCATGGTATCTGCAAAAGCACGCCTGAAATAAACCGAAGTAAAAAACGGCATTGGTTTTAACGAGACAGAGATAATGGCGAGACGTAAACGACAGACACACCTAGGCATAAAATGGCGAACGCCATCGAGCAACGCATTTTTGGAGTGATTGCTGATTGGGATTTTGGGGAAGGTGATGCGAGGTGGTGTCAGTGAAAATCTACATCTAAGAGACGAGCCTGAGACATGAGTAGCGACGGAGAAAACGGCATTCAGAGTGTTTTTGCGGGTTGCCTGTGAATGTCTGAGGCAAGTCGATATTTTATTCTCGTCGTTTCAGAGAATTTTTCTCAGTGACCTTAATGCAAACACCTTAGATGCCTTGGCGAAGTTTCCGTTCTGCGCACAATCGCAAATTCACCTGGATTCGCTTCGATTCAAATCGTTCGACCTGTTGGACCGTGTAAGATGCCCGTAGAGAGTGGGTTGAAATTTTTAGTTTCATTCGTACTCATTTGATAACAATAATCTTGTTATGATAGGGACAAGGGGTCGATAGTTTCAACTGGTTATTGTAATTTCAATTAATAATTATCTATACTATCTCTACTATTATTGAGACAAAAGAAAAATAGGAGATAACCAAAGAAAATACGGTAGTCTGGTGAAATACATCACGTTCCTCCGATAATAATATAAAAGATGATATATATATATATATATATATAT